CTCTTTCTATATGACAGTTGTGTATATACTGTGATTCTTTTAGGAGAAATTGCTAAAAGTAAAAATGTTTGAGCCCAAGAGCATTAACGTTTTTGAATCCTTGATACAAGCTGCCACACTGATCCTCCGTAAAGGTCATGCCAGTTTATACTCTAGAGCAGCAGGACACCTGGCCTCCTCCATCAGATGCGTGTAGTGAGAGGAAAGCACACATCTGACTGAGGGCTGAAAAGATGTTTCTCACAGATCCTCTGAATGTCAAGAACAGAGGGATGGAGCCAGTACTGCCAAGAGAAAGTACATAGCTTCTAGTCCCGGATTTATATCAGACTTGGGTGATTTGGGGCAAGTCAACCTTTCCAGAGCTCAATTTTATTAAAGTTATTTATCTATTACTTCTGTACACAAAAGAAAGAGAGAGAGACAGCACCCCTCACAAGGTTCTGATGTCACAAACTAACCACAGCCTTAGCCTACCCTGGGTCATGGGTATGTGTGTACCTGGAGCACTCAGGAACGTTTCCAGATGTAACCGTAGAACCTTCCCATGTGGGTCAAACTTTGCAGGATGTCCCTTTACACTGTAGCACCATTGTCTGGCCCCCTCAGAGCTCAATTTAGTCATCTATAAAATTAAAAATATAGAGGCCGGCAGATGGCATAGTGATTATGTTGCTGGACACTCACATGGCCAACCTCAGTTTGAGGCCCGAACTCAATAGCTTGAAAGTTATGCCAGGCACATGTTCGTGTGTGCCCAAGATCCCAAGAGAATTGAGGAGAAAGGATTGCAGCATGGCCACCCCCCTCAGGGGGGTGATTGCTCACTTATCCTCTCGCTGTCTCTGTCTCTCTTTCGCTCTTCAGTGAGTGCATGTGCCCTAAGGTAAAAACCTCTAAAACAATTTTTTTAAATAAATAAATAAAATATATAGCCAGATGACTTCCAAGACTCTTATCAGCTTCAAATCTCTTGATTTCAAATTATTTGAAATTTCTACGCTCTCATTAACACTGTAGATCTCAGAGTTGTCAAAAGATTTACTTAATTAATAACACAAAATTGTCAGAGCCTAGGAATAATCATACACTGTTATATTAGACTGGCAACTTAACAGCTTACAGTAGCTACTATTCCATTTGAGACTCTCTGATTAAGAATCTGGGTACAGAAGGAGGTACAGAGAGATCAGATGACTTCAATTACTGTTCTGATGCTTCAGAAAGTCTGCTTCCAAGCCAACAGTCAAATATTCACTCCACATAATTCACTCCATTCATTTCCTTGTGGAACATTTTACAATGTGTAATTCTATTCATTTGTTTGTTTAGCTACTTTCCTTACTTTTTACACCTTACTTTTTTCTATCAGCCTTTTCCCTTTTCTTTTGTTAGTTTTTTTTTTTTTTTTTTTTTTCCCCATAGGGTGTATGTGCTTGCTGGAAAGAGACAGAGAGAGGTAAAGTGGGGGATAGTCACACAGCAATCCTTTCTCATCCATTCTCCTCTAGGGATTTTGGGCATGCACACACATGTGCCTGCCTGGTGTGATTTTCAAGCTGCTGCCCCAAACCGTTGTTGGCCATGTGGGACCCAGCTGCCTTAACCTCCACTCTCCTTGTTGGTTTCTTTCTTTAGCCTTTAAAATTGTGTTTTATGATGTACACTATATACTGGAGAGTATACAAATGTAATGTGTCAATAAATTACATTTATTTGGTCTATTTTGGAAGTGTAAGTCAATCAGCAATTTCTTTTCCAACATTTAATTCTAAACATTTTCAAATAAGAAAAATAATCTAAAGACTCCTACAGTAAATCGTGTGTGCCTATCACCTAGATTCTGTAATTAGTATTTTACTATACCGTGTTCACTTTATTTTATATACTTCCATCTTTTTTATCCATACCTTAATACATCTAATTTTTGGATGCATTTTAAATCAATTTTTTATAATGGGAGACATAGTGTAAAAGTTCAGAGACTACCACTATAGATGAGAGTTTGGGAAATTATTTTTACTTTTAGCAATTTCTCCTAAAAGAATCACAGTATATACACAACTGTCATATAGAAAAAAAAAAGAGTGTTTCTAGGATCAAGCATTACTCATATTTTAAAATAAAGTTTTAAATAGCCCAAGGCCTATTTTATTGGAACACAGCCATTCTATTTATTTACACAATATATATGGCTACTTTTGCTCTGCAACAGCCAGTCAGGTTGTGTTTAAGGTCATATGTGACCTGCAAAGCCTAAAATATATACTGCTAGCTCTTTACAGAAGAAACTTGTCAAGCCCTGATCTAGATTACAAACCCAATAAAAGCAGGATCTGTATTTTAGTAAGCAGAATAGTGCTCAGTCCTAATCATGTTCCTTGCCTACAGAACATATGCAAAAAAATTGATTAAATGAATATAGTGGGTTTTCTTTTCTTTCTTTTTTTTTTTCCTTGCTTTTGGAGGGATTTTTGCTATAGGGTGCATGTGTGCTTGCCAGAGACAGAGAGAGACAGAAAGTGAGAAATCAGCCCACTGGGGGGATGGCCAGATGGCAATCTCTCTACTCCATTCTCCTCTTGGGATTTTGGGCATGCATGTACAAGGACTTGGTGTGACTTTCAAGTCGCTGGTTTGGGGCTCAGACTGTGGTCAGCCACGTGGGAGTCTAGCGCCTTAACTACTACACTACTTGCTGTCCCCTTATAGTAGGTTTTGGTGTCGACCAAGGAGAAGACCGATTTTGGTCAACCCTGTGGACTTTGTTCATAATCCTGACTATAAAACATTGACTAGGACTAGTCACACACATATACAGTCTTAAGTCTGTAGTCATTCAACAAATTTTATTGAACACCTACCAAGTGAACCAGGATGGTGCCTGCAGTTTTCTAGGGACTTAGCCTACCCAAGCTGGAGACAAGAAAAAGAAACTCTAAAGATCCCAATCAATTTCTCAAACACGCACATTCCTCACCACCAATTCTTCTTTTTTTGTTTTCTGTTTTGTTTCTTAGATTTTTTTGCTATAGGGCACATATGTTGGCTGTAAAGACAGAGAGAGAGAGAGAGAGAGAGAGAGAGAGAGAGGATGCAAGAGAGAGAGAAACAAAGTGAGAAGTCACCCCTTGGGGGGATGGTCATGCTGCAATCCCTATTCCTCCATTATCCTTTCAAGATTTCAGGCACACACACACACACAAGCATTTGGTGTGAGTTTCAAGCTTCTGGGTCTGGGACTTGAACCATCATCAACCATGTGGGAGTTCAGCAATGTAACCATTATACCATCTGCTGGTCCCATAACCAATTCTTCTGGAACTCTGTCCATTCATTCTGGATCTTGGGGGCATCATGTCACCTTCCCAGACCTGTGCCCTCTAAGGACCAGTCCTCATCTGAGGGCCTATTGAGGTGATTCATGGACATGATGTATGTGATAATGCCTGACACACTGTCCATCCCTTCTGAAACGCTTTGGCATCTGTGCGCATCTCTGAGCTCGAGTTTGTGGTTATTGAAGTTTTATTAACAGGTCCAGGTTGCTCAGGTGCTGTGAACTGAGGTCCCAACAGTGCTGACCAGGAACTTTACAAGTTCTCCCTAGCCAGTTTGCTGCCTTTGATTGGTGGACCTTAACTCTTCTCTTCTGGTCCAGTATTTTGGCCACTTTCTGAAAGGTCAAAGCCTGTGAAGCAATTTAGCAGAGAGGGAATGGAGCTGAACAGGGGGTTAGTGAGGAGCTGGGAAGTTCTGAAATTGGTGGTTTGAGGACCACCTTGGTTGGCCGTGGGAATCCCCTGGGGAGCTTCAATAGACTGAGGCGTGGGTCCCACCCAGAGATTACGATTTAATTCATCTGGAGTGTGGTGCCTGGAAGGGTGGGGAGAGGAGAGAAAGACTGGCATTCGTATCTGTAAATGTTCTCCAAGAATTCTAATATGCAAAAGTTGAGAACTTGGGTTGGATTACTTAAGGCCTACAGGATTACCAGAAGATGACTAAATTGTCTCGGCCTTGAAGCCGAGAAGTCTGGTTACTGAGTATCTCCAGGCAGGCTCAGGGACCCCTCACAGAAGGCTCACTTTTGGGGTCAGGAACTAGCTTCTCCCTACTTCTAGCCTGTCTCTAATATTGAGTAGATTGGAAAGAAAGATCCTCCTGGACCTTGGAGTTTCAAAGTCTGAAGCTGAGAGTGGAGTAGGATGAAAACGAGAAGCTGCCATATTTATTTTAATTAGGTTCTCATAAACCGTTAGCAACTCGAAAGTAGGTGTTTCCTGAATCAGGCTATTCCATAGCCTGGGTCAGCTGCCATATGTACTAAGTATGAGAAGCACCAAACTTCAGCTCCTTGGACCTCACCTGTAGAACTCTAAGTAGTAGATCAAGTGAAACTCGGGAATTTGCAGTTAAACAAATACTGGAGGTGATCTTGCTGTAAGTGGGCATCCAACCTCACCTTGAAAACAACTCACGTTGACCATGGAAGGGGCCCAGGAGTCACCTGATCCAGTGATCTCAACCCTGGATGCACAATAGAATCATCTGAAAAGCTGGGAAACACTGAATTAATTCTATTATCCCTGTTGGGCCCATGCATCAATATTTCCCAAAGCTAACAGGTGATTTGAACATGGAGCTGAAACAGAACCACCAATCTAGCCCTATGGTCTCATTCTACCAATGGGAAGAACTTAGATGGGAGTGTCTTGATCAAGGCTATGCAGCTAATTCTTGGCCAGAAATTCAGAGCCAGTTTTAGTTCACAGTTTTAATTAGGCATTAAGATTCCCGAGTTGGGGGTCCAGATGGTGGCACAGTGGTGAAATACAAAGGTCTGAGACAGTCCCACATGGGAAGGCTCCTGGTTTGAGTCAGAAGACCTTTTTGAGTACTCTGGGCAGACTATACTCTTGAGCCAGATCTAGCTGAAGGCCAGGTGGATAGCAGTGTTCGGACTTTGTTGGGGTACACTGTCACTCTCTTGGGGAAAAAAAAATACTCTTGAAAAAAAAATCCCAGGACCAACAGATGGCATAATGCTTATGTTGCTGGACTCCTATGTAGTAGACTGTGGTTTGAATCCTGGACTCCTACATAGTTGACTGTAGTTTGAATCCTGGACCCGGCGGCTTAAAACTTGCAGCAGGCGAGTGTGTGTGTGTGTGTGTGTGTGTGTGTGTGTGCGCGCGCCAAAAATCCTGAGAGGAGAATGGAGGAAAAAAGAATGCAGCATGGCCATCCCATGTGTGTGGGGGGTGATTTCTCACTTTCTGTCTCTCTGTCTGTCTCTGTCTCTCTAGCGAGCACATGTGCCCTATAGCAAAAATCTCTCTTTAGAAAAGAAAAAAAACAACTGTAAGCCAGAAAGATGCTGGTTCTGGGCCCTGAGAGGGAGTCAATGCTCATCTTTGCAGGATGGTTTTTGGTGTCAGATCCCTAACCAGATACCCTCCTGCAGACTGGGATGGAAAAGCTCTGGACTCACCCAGGGAGGCCAGCACGGCCACGGCCACCAGGAGCAGGGCTAGGAAGAGGTAAAGAATTCGCACCGATGTGTGCAAAGACAGGTTCTTCTGGCAGCGGCTGCAGTGGGGCCCCGGCCGGCCTGTTGGGGGACAGAGGAGAGCAGTGGCTTAGGCTGGAGCAGATGGGTCAGTTCCACATTCCTCCTCTAGCCTGCCTCATCATAGTTCAAACCAGGCTCAGATGGGGAGGTGTTCTCTGTTCTCAAGTTCTGCTCATCCTACCACTGTTCTCTCGGTCCAAGAGCTTACATGAAGAGAGGAGACACGGAACCAGCAGTTAGCGTAATGGTTATATCGCTGGACTCCCATGTAGTCGACTGCGGTTCGCGTCCCGGACCTGGTGGCTTAAAACTCACGCCGGGCGCGTGTGTGTGCGTGCCCAAGATACCAAGAGGAGAATGGAGGAGAAGGGACTGCGGCATGGCCATCCCCCCTGGGGGGTGATTTCTTGCTTTCTGTCTCTCTCTCTCTGTCTGGTGAGCGCACGCACCCTATAGCAAAATAAATAAATAAATAAATAAAAATAAAATTAAAAAAAAACCTCTCCAAAAAGAGAGGAGACATAGTCAAGGTCTTCAAAGAACACATCACCACTAACATCATTCTCTCTGTGTGGCATCTTTATTCAGCCTATGGGGTGAGGAGACACCCTCTACATTGGCCCTGCTGGTAATCCACACATGGGAGTCAGTCTTGGGTGACTAACTTGTCCCAGATTTCCCAGGACCTTCTGGGTTTTAGCACAGAAAGTCCCGTTAATAGGAACTTCTCAATATGGGGTAAACCAAGAGATTGGCCACCAGTTCTCAGATTTTGCAGATAATCAGTAGTTCTGGAAGTCAGTGGTTGCAGTGCACAGCTGGGTGGCTAGTAAGGAGGAAGGAGGGAACCTGGGAATCAGGGCAGGGCCCCAGCAGGGATGCAGTAGCTGTGAAACTCCTAAATTGAATTTAACTGTGGCCACACATGATGAGTACCAGGAGTGTTTAAAAATCCTAAGGCTGTGTTTGCAGTCCAGACCAAAATAAATCAGAATTTCTGAGGGTTGGTCTCAGGCATCCCTGAGTGATTACAATGTATGGCCATGGTGAAGATCAACAGCTGTCATCTACATGGAAACCCACTGAGTGGCACTATTCCAAAAGCATGTGCTCAGGTGGCATGGGATAGGATGAAAGGGACAATTCAGGATCAGCTAGAAGACAAGCTCTGGGGAGATGGCAGAGGTCCCTGGCAGGTCTCAGGAGGAACCCTGGGGACAGAATGCACTTATGTTAAACTCTTCTCCACCCGAACTGCATAGTCCAGGGACATATAAGTCTGCCTATCACCCTCCAGGAGGCAGCCTGAGGCTGGGGGCAAGGAGCTCTCAGCTCAGAGAGGAGACCAGGGTAGCCCCCAGAGCCCTTACCCTCCTGGGCGCATGGGAAGGACGACATGTCCTCGTCTTCTCCAGCCAGTTCCTCTTCTGTAACGCACAGCGCATCTCCGTCACCACCGGCCGACCTCACTGTGATGGAACCAGACCCATCAGACCCGCACTTGGACCCTGAGCTACATCATTCTTGTCCAGCTGCCCTTCCCAAACCAGTCACCCCACCTTATGTGCACCCAGGCCCAGTTGTCCAAGTCAGTCCACTTGAGCTCCAGACGACCTGACTGTATGCCAAGGAGTAGAGGTAAGAATTGGGTTAGGAACTGGGATCTCTGCCCTCTAGGTAAGGCTGTCTCCCTATCTCCCACCAGCAGGAAAACAGAGCCTGCTCAGCCACCTACTCTAGCCACACCCTGCTCAGACCCCTGGGTGTGGAGTAAGAATCAGTAAAAGCTGGTTCCCGATCTGGGTTCTTACACTCTGATACATAGAAACCTAAGAAGAATTCCTCTTTTCCAGAGAAAAGGCTGAATTTGGCCCCAGCACAGTCTCCATTGAGAATCTGTGCCTAGCCCAGCTGCGGGGCTGCAGAGAAGAGGAAGTGGGAGGTGGGAGGATACCAAATGGTCCAGACCTGGTTTTCACACTGAGACCTGAATGATGCGTTTTTTCATTCAAAACATTGCTCTCATTCCCAGAGACCTATCACCTCTTCTGCCATGTAGGACCTGGCCTTTTAAGAGCAAGGAAGATGCCTAAAATATGGCAGAATAAGCCAAATCCTCAAGGGGGTGTTTAAAAAATGAGAGATGGTCTGGATTGAGCTCACTAGGGCTTTTGTTCTGGGAAGTAGAGGATGCAAACTGATGATGAAACCAAAATTGCTTGGGAGATATCTACACAGAGGGTTATAAACAAAAACAAAAACAAACAAACAAACAAACAAAAAACAACTATGCTTCCAGATCCAGAGGCATTTAAAGAAAATGTCAGTACACAGTCAACCCTCTGTATCCTCTAGATTTGCATCTGTGGATTCAACCAGCCTCAGATTGAAAATGTTCAATAAAACAACAACAACAAAATCAATATAAGGGGCCAGTGTGGTGGTTAAGAATCTTACGTGGTCGACTATGGTTCAAATCCTGGATCTGGTGACTCGCTTTCTCACTTTTGCACTCTCTTTCTGTGTCTCTCTCTGGTGAGTGCACACGCCCTACAACATTTTTTTTTAAAGGTAAAAATAAATACAATTAAAATAAAATAATTATTTTAAAAACAATGTAATGATAAAAAGTAATATAGTATAACAACTATTTACATACCATTTACATCATATTAGCTTTTAAAAAGTTATTTACTTAATTTTATTTATCATCACTATTTTTTTTTTTAACAGAGAGAAACAAAGAGAGAGAGAGGGCAAATGAGAAAACAAGTCACCAGGTCCGGAACTCACACCGCAGTCAGCCATGTGGGAGTCCAACATCAAAACCGCCATGCCACCTGCCAGCCCCTATATTAGGTTTTATAAATAATCTAGAGATGATTTAAAGTGTACAGGAGAATATATGGAGATTATATGCAAATATTATGGCATTTTGTATAAAGGGCTTGACAACCGGCAGATTTTGGTATCCACAGGAGGGTCCTGGACCCAATGTCCCATGAATACCAAGGAACAATTGTATTTAACTGCTTGACAATATAACAAACATACTTTTGAATGGGGAAAAAACATCACCAGAAGCAGTTAAAAGGCAAATGACAAATTGCAAGTAAACATTCACAATATATAAATAAAGGGTTAATATGCCAAATTTATAAAGACTTTTTAAAGATATTTTAGAAAAGTGAGTAATAGCCCTGAACAATTTATGAAAAGATAGCAAAGATGATTCTTAAACAGATAAAAAGGCATTTAATTTTACTCATAAGATAAATGCAATTTAAAAACCACACTGTGGTAACATTTCTCATCCATCCAATTGGCAAAAATGTGGAGGGCTCTGTTGACAAAGGCTATGGAGAGGATCTGGGGTGGAGACACAGAATCATCCAAACCTTACAGAGGAGAATTCAGCATATGTGTTTACCTTTTGATACAGCAATTACATGTCTGTGAAATGATCCAGAATAAACATCTCCAGCAATATGAAAATACAGTGGACAAGGTTATTCACTGAAGAGTTATTTGTGGTTGCAAGAACTGGGAACTATCTAAATGTATGAGCACAGGAGATTGCTTAAATATGACATAAAATGTACTCCCATGATGGAGCTTGGTGCAGCTTCAAAAACAAAAATGGAAATCTCTATTAACAGATATGGAGTGATTTCCAGCAGATATTATATAGAAAGGGTGAAGTACAAAAAAGAATATATAGTATGTTACATTTTTTGTAAAAAAAAAAAAAAAAAGATGTAGCAATTAAAAACATACACATTGGGACTAGCAGTTGGTGTAATGGCTACGTCACTGGACTCCCATGTGGTTGATCGTGGTTCGAGTCCTGGACCTGGTAGCCTAAACTCACGCCAGGCGCGTGTGACTGTGTGCGCAAGATCTGGTGGGGAGAATGGAGGAAAAGGGATTGTAGCATGGCCATCCCCCCTGGGGGGTGATTTCTCGCTTTCTGTCTGTCTCTCTCTGTCTTTCTGGCAAGCGCACGCACCCTATAGCAAAAACCTCTCAAAACAAACAAACAAAAAACATACACATATCTAAACAGGTATGTTTTTATTTATTTATTATTTTTAAGAGGTTTTTGCTAACAGGTATATGAAGAAAAAAAAACAGTGAAGTTGCTTTCTACAAGGACTGAGAAGGTCACAGGAAGAAGCACTTCTTCAAGTATAACTTTTTGGACAGTTTGGCTTTCAGAACCATGTTAATATTCACATATTTAAAAATTAAACAAAGGACCAGCTAGTGGCACGGTGGTTGATGCAGCTGGATATCTCACTGCCAACTGCATGGTCCCAATGGCTTGAAAAACACGCTGGGCATGTGTGCATGCATGCTCAAAATCCTGAAAGGAAAAATGGAGAAGAGATTGTGGCATGACCCTCCCTCATGGGAAGGTCTTATCTCCTCTCTGTTTCTCTCCAGTGAGTTTGTATACCCTCTATCCAAATAATAATAATAATAATAATAATAAAATGTAGTCAATAAAACAGAAAAAAAAATTGGGACCAAATAAACCTAGTTGTGTTTCAAATGAATAAGCATACTGAGGGCCTGCTCCATTTCACAGTAGTTAAGGACAGTGCATTAGCAGCCAGATCTCACCAGGCTGACTGTAGTTTAAATCTTGGCCCTAGTGGCTTGAAAACATAACAGGCACTTGTGAGTGCATGCCCCAAATTCCAAGTTGAAGAAATGCAAAGAAGCAATGTGATGTGATCATGCCCCACTGGAGGTACTTTCTCCCTCTCTTTCTCTGGCCAATACAGGTCCCCTTTGGCAATTACGAAAAGACAGGGAGAAAGAAATATAAAATGGGAAAGACAAAAAGAAAACAAAAACAAAAAACAAATCCTTGGAGATGGACTGAAATGAGAAGTATTGATACAAACTAAAAATGTCTAAAATACTCTTATTTATGCACATCAATATGCATCTAATTTATTGGTATGTGTACACATATAGCTCCGTTTACTGAAGCTTCAGAAACAAAGACACTGCAATAGCAATAAGCACCCCTGGCGACACACACCATGGTCTCTAATACCATTCCCACCGAAAGAACGGGGCTCTTAGAGAAATATGATTCTGGAGCTGGGATGGAGTAGGTGGAAATGAACTTGGAATATCTTGTTATTGAGCAAGGAAGTGCTCAAAAACAATGTCAAGGGCACATTACGAAGACAGAAAGCAGCTTGAAGATGTTCCCTCTGGCCGAATCTGGGATGATTTGAGTTCCAGAATAATTAGGTAAACAATGCAGTTACAACCACTGGAAAGAAGGGGTTCATAAGTCCACACTGATGATAGGTACAGTAAGTGGAAGAAAATGAAAGGAGGGCTCTTTCCTACGGTAGGGCTAGAGTTGGGAAATCAGCATTTTGCAGCCATCATAGCTTGCAAAATGAATCCTTGGTGGATGGTGTTTTGGGGGAACATTTTAATGAGGGACAGAACATATACACAGCCTTTTTTTAAAAAAAAAATTATCTTATTTAACTTTATTTATTTATTTATTTATTTATTTATTTATTTTAATTTGTCCAGAGGACAGAGTGAGAGAGGGAGGAAAGTGAGAAAGCAGGTTACCAGGTCCAGGACTCGAACCATTGTTGGCCATGTGGGAGTCCAGTGCCCTTACCCACCATGCGACCTGCTGGCTCCTATACATGGTTTTAAGGTGTCTCCTCACAGACTCCTTATTAGGAGCAAGAGAGGAGGGGGTAGGAAAGGAGGTAAACAGTAATTATTTATTTTATTTTACACTTCCTTATTTGTATTTAATTGTTGAACATCTTTGTGGGGAATAATAGGGATTTTCAAAGTATGCATCAGTGTCCGATAATCAAATCAAGGTTAGTACCATATTTACCATTTTCAACAAAGAACATCACGTTATGGTATGTACTGTTAATTTTTGCTCTACTCTTTCTTTCTTTGATAGGTAAGATAGAAAATGTCTATTGAAAAAACAGTAATTATACACTAGCAAAACCAGATGATCAAAATTAATGTCACCTAAGAGGGACAGGTGGACATTGGACGGCTGCAGATGTGAAAGCCTGGGTTGTACTCACCATCACTGACTATAAGAATAAGCACACAAGGGACCAGCAGTTAGCGTAATGGCTATGTCGCTGGACTCTCACGTAGTTGACCGCTGTTCGTGTTCCGGACCCGACGGCTTAAAATTCACGCCGGGCGCATGCGCGTGCGTGCCCAAGATCCCGAGAGGAGAAGGGATTGCGGCGTGGCCATTCCCCCTGGGGGGTGACTTCTTGCTTTCTGTCTCTCTGTCTTTGTCTGTCTGGAGAGTGCACATGCCCTATAGTAAAAACCTCTCAAAAAAAAAAAAAAAAGAATAAGCACACAACCCAAATCTAATATGAAGAAACAGGAGAAAAACACAAATTGAGGATTATTCTATCAAAAAAAAGGGAGGAGGCCTGCTTGGTGGTGCAGAAGTAATGTGCTACTTCAGTGATGCTGGATCCATATGGAAGATCGAGGGTTCAGTTCCCAGGTCCACCTATACATGCCAGGCATGCATATCCCATGATCCTAGCTGGCTGCACAGACTGGGGCAGGATTACATCAT